GGTACCGGAGGTTTTTGGCTGCTGGGGCTCTGCTCGGGGTGGGGAGGGAGATTCAACTGGTTGAATCATACACATTCTATGTAAATTTTCTTCTTCTGTCCAGATGTTAATTTCAAAATGCCCAAATATATGAATTAATTACTATAGTTCACCTTACTGATTGATTCCTGGTTACAATGGGAAATAGAAGTCAGATTTATAGAAATACTGAGATCCTTCAGACACATTTGCATAGTAGTTAAAACCACCATAGGCTCGGCATCTGACAGGCCTGGTGTTGACTTCAAGCTTCTTGATCAGTAGCCGGTCATGTGGTTGTTCACAAGTGAGCTAAGATCTCTAAACTTTAGTTACCTCATCTCTCATGTTGAGAGGATCATTTTTCTACTTTATAAGGCTATGATGAGGGAACAGAATAATATGCCAAAAGTACACAAAACAGTATTCCTCTCTTGTGTTACATAAAGGAGGCAATAAAGAGTCTCTCTTTTTCATTAGTCTTTGCAGTTTTAATTACACATGTCAGAAGGCAGGTGCGAAATGAAGAAAGGCATTTCTGGTATTTTTCTTCTCTGAGGGTACTAAGTCCAAGTTGTTCCTTTGAAACTTCAGGATGAGTTAGCTGTGCAGGAATGGGATGTAGAAAAATATCTCTGCATTCCCCTCCAAAACCCTATTGTGGCCTTCACCTTGCTTTTGTCTCTGTTTTCTACCGGGAAGACTATTCTTTTTCTGGAGCACTACGAGGGGGAGGCAAGAGGAGAGTTGGTAGTTACAAATATTAATTGCTCAGTTGATTGTTGTGTTCAGAATTGGAGGATTCCTTGAAGACAGTTTGCATTGGAGACTAGACTTCCTAATTCCTAGCCTGGTACTTTTTCACTCTTATCTGCTTGTCTTTTTGTGTTCTCTTTCTCCTTAGAAAGATTTGAGTGATTTCAGCACCTTCCTAAAACTTTTCTCAAGCACATTGCTATTAATCCTTTCAAAACAAATTGTGCTTGCAGTGGTATACAGCTACTCTCTGGGGTCCCAATCAGAATTATAGAGAGGACTTCCTCCAGACTCTCTCCCCCAAGAACACCCTGTGCTGGAGCAGTTTGTGGTACTCTTGTGTGACAGGAGTCCCACGGGGCTGCAAGGGCTATGCTTTTCTTTGGCTGAAGACTGGTTTCATTAACAAGCATGTTCACACTTCAACCGGAACATTTAAAATAACACCCGCACAATGTGTTGAGTGCCTAGTTAATTATTAAATCTTGGAGTTTGAATTATTGGAGCAAAATTGATGGGCTCAGCCTTCTTCCTTCTCTTTGAGCAATTGGGGATAAAAAAAAGCCTCCCTCTACTCTAAATGCAGGAAAGGTTATTAAGTAACCATCAATAGTCTGGACTATGGGTGGTAACCCAAGTACTAGCAAAATAGGTAAAGAAAGTGCTGGCAGCTTGACACTTTTCTTCAAAAGGCAAAACAAACTTCTTTCTCTGATCTTATATACTTTTAGGGTTAATTAGCATTATAGAGACTTAAAAAGTTTTAGGATTTCTTTCTTTTATTTTTTTTATTTTTTTAAATATATATATATTTTTTTATTTATTTATTGAATCACTGTGGGAAAGGTTACAAAGCTTTCAGGTTTATGTCTCAGTCATGCAAATATCAAACACATTTCCCTTTACCAATACTTATTTTTTCCCATGAAGAACCCCAATAAAACCCCACCCCCCACCCCTCCCCGTCCCTGTGAGGCAGATGAATTCTAGTTAACACTCTATCCGCTTTGATTAGATTGTTTCAATAAAAGATTCACCACTATTATTTAGAGTTTACCCCCCCCCCCCCAAATCAGACATGCTGAAAAAGCATTGTGAAGTGATTTGCTTTCTACAGCTGGGTTCAAGAATTAAATGTTGGTTTTGGATTTCTGCTATTTTACCTATTGACCCTGGAAGTATTTCTACTGAAAGTCAGATAGTTAAGAAATTGGTTTCTGTGTTCTGGAGTCGTGGCCGTGCTGGAGAGCCGCTCGTGGGGGGCAACTGGTGGCCTCGGTAGGGCGTGAAGGGCGGAGCGAAACGCCCCCCTTCCCATGAGGTTTTAGTCGCCCCCACACTCCCGGCTCATACCTGCTGTCCACAAGGCTCCCATGTGGCCGCCATCTTTCTTTCCAGAGAGGAGAGGGCGAATGGGGCAACACCCTTTCCCCTCCGGCAGACTTGATGGGCTGGATCAACGCATAGTCCGTTCACTTTTCTGCTCCAAGCTGCTGGGTTCTGCATTAAGTCCTTGTGCTTCTGGGGCCATGGCCGTGCTGGAGAGCCGCTCGCGGGGGGCGACATGTGACCTCGGTAGGGCGTGAAGGACGGACCGGAACGCCCCCCGACCCATGAGGTTTTAGTCGCCCCCACTCCCCCGGCTCATACCTGCTGTCCACAAGGCTCCCATGTGGCCGCCATCTTTCTTTCCAGAGAGGAGAGGGCGAATGGGGCAACACCCTTTCCCCTCCGGCAGACTTGATGGCCTGGATCAATGCATAGTCCGTTCACTTTTCTGCTCCAAGCTGCTGGGTTCTGCATTAAGTCCTTGTGCTTCTGGGGCCGTGGCTGTGCTGGAGAGCCGCTCGTGGGGGGCAACTGGTGACCTCGGTAGGGCGTGAAGGACGGACCGGAACGCCCCCCTTCCCATGAGGTTTTAGTCGCCCCCACACCCCTGGCTCATACCTGCTGTCCACAAGACTCCCATGTGGCCGCCATCTTTCTTTCCAGAGGGAGGAGGGCGGAAGGGAGCAACACCCTTTCCCCTCTGGGCAGAAATGATTGCCTGGATTAACGCATAGTCCTTTCACTTTTCTGCTCCAAGCTGCTGGGTTCTGCATTAAGCCCTTGTGCTTCTGGGGCTGTGGTCGTGCTGGAGAGCCGCTCGTGGGGGGCAACTGGTGACCTCGGTAGGGCGTGAAGGACGGATCTTTTATTTTTTTTTAACCTTTCTTTATGGTTATTTACAAGCTGGGTAAGTATGTTTCTTGGATTTAGTTGTGTAGTGTAAAAACTGGAGAAATTGCTTCTTCCTTTGCTGTCCCACCTCACTGTCAGATGAAAGTTTTTACATGTCTTAGCTTCACCAAAACCATGTTGAGTATTTGTTGACCTGAAAGATACTCAAAATATATTGCATCTTCTACTGAGGATAATTTTTGTTATCATCTGTATAAAAAAAGATTGAAAAATCAACACCAATTGATTATTGTATGTCTTTTATCTAGATCAGATGATTTTTTATCTTTCTCTTTCCTATTACTTTTATAGTTGAACAATACACACATATAAAGATGGTCTGGCTAGAAATTACCAAGGAATTAGGAACTCGTTGGAAACAATGTAGTCCTCACTGAAGTCAGACAAGTATAGACTTGGAAAATGTAGACTCACAAAAAGATTCACAGTATTTTGTGACAGAAATTTGAGTAACTTCTATTAGCCTTCAATTTTAGACTTTCATTGCTAGACCTTTATCTCTAGTTCATTGTCAACTTCATTATTATTAAGATGTAAAAAGATGGAGTTGAGGGGGTTGGAGCGATAGCACAGCAGGTAGGGCGTTTGCCTTGCACGCAGCCAACATGGCCAACACAAGTTCGATTCCCAGCATCTCATATGGTCCCCCCGAGTACTGCCAGGAGCAATTCCTGAGTGCATGAGCCAGGAGTAACCCCTGAGCATCGCTGGGTGTGACCCAAAAAAGCAAAAAAAAAAAAAAGACGGAGTTGTGGGTGTCAGCCTGGAGAACACATAAACTGGCCCAGAGGTCTGGGAAGGGGATATTAAATAATTGCATTTTAGAGGAAGATTGTAAAGCATACGGGAATTTTGAGAGAAAATGACCCAAGTGCAGTGACCTAGTTTAACGATTCATTTAAATGTGGGTCCTTCTTTGGGAAAAGTATAAAAAGAGCTCCCTTAAACCAGATTTGAAGGGGGTGTGTGTGTGTGTGTGTGTGTAAACAAAACCCCGAGAGGCCAAAAATGCCGCTGGGGCTAGAGCTTCGGAATGATTAGTCTTTGGTGTCCAGTGTTTGCATGAACCCTGGGGGTAAGAGTGAGTGTGTCTCTCTGCATACATCCTCACAAAGGGATGTGGACTTGCTAGAGGTGAAAGGTCTGAACTCCTTTAATAGTCTAACTCCCTTGGAGGTAGGTGATACTCTGAGATGGGGGTTAAAGAGGCAACAGCCAAAGCAGTGCGGAAGAGAAAACAGAGTTTTCCACGGAGGGAAACTTCGGGGACTCGAAACAGAACTGTATATCCTTGGCATACCCACGCTCCTGACTTGGGCGGTGGTGCATACGCATCTTTGTCCTGGGATACTACTGGTGTCAGTAGACAACCAGAGACTTGTGACTCTGGAGTGGCCCAACAGTTGGCGAGCAGGTAAGGGGCCGTGAGAGAGCAGCGCCTTTCCCAGCTCCGTGGGAAACCTCACGCCTCTCCTGCCCTGCCCCTCCGCCTCAGCCAACGTGCCAGACAGGTGGTGTCTCCCAGGCGAGGCAGCTGCCCCGCTCCGCGAAGGTCGGGGAACCGGAGAACCTGGGACAGCGCAGAGGCTCTGGCGCCCTTCCCAGCCCGCGCCCGGGTCCTCCCGCCTCCATGGCCGCCTCGGCGGCCGCTGCGGCCTCCCCCACCGAGTCCTCCCGTATCCCTGCATTCCACGTTGCGGCAGCCGCAGCCTCGCCGGCGCAGACGCCCCCCCCCCTACCTCCCCCCCCCCCCCCCCCGTCCCGACCCCACCCCACCTCCGTGCACGCGGGCTGGCGCAGCCCCCCGCCCGCCGCGCTCATTCCCTGGCTGTGGCTGGGCGCGGGGCGGCCGGGCCCGGCGGGGGCGGGGCGCGGCGCGGCGCGAGGGGCGCGGGCGTGTGCGCGCGTGTCGGGGGGGGCGCGCGGGGGCCGCCATATTGGATCCGGACGGAGAGCCGAGCCTCCGCCTGCGCGCGGCGGGGACTGGCGGAGCCTCGCGGAGCCCCGGGCGCGAGCGCGAGAGGACGGGGACGGCGGGGGAGGGGTGGGCGGAGAGGAAGGGAGTGGCTGCGAGCCGGGCTGCGGCAGCTCCGCGCTCCTCACCCGCGGCCGCCTCTCCCTCCTCGCCGGGGGGAAGATGCCCTTAACCCGCGGGTGTGAAGAAGGGGGACCGGTCGCCGCCAGAAACGCCCGCGCCGCCGCCGTGCGTGTCCTCTGAAGCCGGAGAAGCGCCCCCCTCACCCGGGCGTCGGGAGCGTCGGCGGGCGAGACGGGGCTGTGCGCCCGGCGGGGCCCAGGCCGCCAGGCGAGCGACCACCGACATGGAGCGGGCTCGGGCGGCCGAGTAGCCGGGGTTGGGGGCCGGTGCCGCCCGCAGCCCGCACGGCCGGTCAGGCCCCTGGGAGACGCGGGGAGAGAAATGAAGAGTTTTCCTCGGAATCCTTTGCAGATAGGACTGACTGGATAAGCCTTAAGGAGCAGCACCGCGGGAGGAGAAAGGAAAAGCCGACTCCGGGCTCGACTTGGCGTGCTCCGAGCCGAGGGGCGGCTTCAGGGACCTCGCCCCCTCCCTGGCCCTCTGGAGGAATCGCCGCTGATGCATTATCCAAGTGGTGGTTGGGAGGATTTGCAGCAGAATTTTTGGTTTTCCCTCCCCCCCCACCTACATTCTGTTTTTTTTTTCCTCCCTTTCCCCCCCTCTATGTTCTTTCTTCCTGGGAAGTGAATTGCTGATGCAAATCGGACTTAATTCATTAATGATGCAACTGGATTCGTTTCAGGATTATGTTGCACGGGTTGAATTTTGAATGAAGGAGGTTTTTTTTTCTTTTTTTTTTTTAAGGACTCTTTAGTTTGCTGTACTTTTAATTATTTTATTTAAGCATACCACCTAATTGTATTATATTCTCTTGAAAATGTGTTAAGTATATATTTTATGTAACTTTCCCGCAATATAGATGTATATGTGCGAAATTCAAGACGCTTCAGTTAAGTGAGGTTCCTAGTGTGTTGGGTGTTTAATTCAACACCGACATTGCGTGACAGTTTAAATAACAAGTGGTTTGTTTTGAAAACCACACCTTAATCAAACTTAGGTCTAAGTAATTAGGTTGGAAAATCGTAATCATAATTTAAAGGAAGGTCGGCAGCAACTGGAGCAACCATGTCTGGAGAAGTGCGTTTGAGACAGTTGGAACAGTTTATTTTGGATGGGCCCGCTCAGACCAATGGGCAGTGTTTCAGCGTGGAAACGTTACTGGATATACTCATCTGCCTTTATGATGAATGCAATAATTCTCCATTGAGAAGAGAGAAGAACATTCTTGAATACCTAGAATGGGGTAAGTGTGTATTTAAAATACTGCCTTGAATCGGGCATTATGATTTGTTACAGTTTAGATGAATAAACTTCCCACTGAGGTACATGTTATCTTTGTACATGTAACCACCAGTAGATAGCAGATACTACATAATACATGTACAATGTTTATGCAAGATACATTTCTTTCAGTATGTACAAGTGAAAGACACGGATTAGTCTTTTTTTTTTTCTTCCAGTTTTTGGTAATTTTCCAAGAGTAAAACGGTACAGCTTAATTGTTGCCTTGATTTAATCTGGAGTCTATGAGGAAGAACTTATGTTTTTAGGTCAGCAGTTAAGAGTTTTTGAATAATTCTGTGGTAGGAATAGTGGATTGTTGCTCAGAGTTCTCTAATACATGCCCATATAATAGACATTCAATGGAAAGGTATTTATTAGTGGAAACATTCCTTCCCAACCTTTGGAAATCACTCACCAAGTGGGAGGAGATAGTCAAATATCTTATATCTACTGGAACTTAAAGGTAGAGATGATGGGCTTTATTTCATCTGTAGCCTACAAGCAAAGGAAACTGCTAAACATGGGCATTCCCAAAATGGTCATGTTTGTCAGATAACGTGACATAGTTTAAAATTTTTGTGGTGGTAGTTGGTGGAGAATGTTTGGAAGCAGCTCCTGCCTAGGAGATAGATTTGCTCTGAATTGAATTCAAATCTAAATTGGTTAGTTTTTCTCCTTCGTTTTCTTAAATTTATTTATGGTTTGGAAGTTCAAAGCTCAATGATGAGAACAAACACTCCATGTGCACTTCAGACTGCGAAGTTTGGCAAAAGTTCTGTGACATGCATTTGACACCAAGCGAGTCTCTGTTGGAATTGTACACATTATTATCTAGACTTATGGGAAATGGCTTTTGAAGGATGCTAGCTAAATAGCTGTTTTGTACTTTGGTATACTAATACTTTTAGTTTTTTTTTGAAAATTCTTAAGGAGTCTTTGCTCTTAAGTAAATATGTTTTCCTGAAGTATTAAGTCAGTTGGTGATTCAGTTTTTTGGATTGGAAATTAGTTAAAAGTTGGTCATGTAAAATCTCTCCTCAAACTTGCTTCCAGATAGGTCATAATTTTTAGTTTCTAAGTGCTGGTATCAGAAGTTTTCTAGAAACTTTTTGGATATCATGCATTTAAAAAAAGTGAATAGGATTTTTAAAAACAGCTTATCAAACTCATTTTCATAGTGTGAATGTAAGAATTACAAAGTGATTTCCTTTTCAAGAGGGAGACAGTTTTGACTTTGATACTGATTTTTTTTGCATATATGTCGTTCTTACGTATCTTTTATAAAGTAAAATAAAGCATATGTAATTTTACTCCCATGTTTTATAATATCTTAAAGTGTTTTTGAAGGTCTAAAGAAAAGGTATCGGTCCTTTCAGAGCTGATGTTTCAGTGTTTGAATGATGGTTCCATAGAGTTAATGATTTATGATTGTCACTTCATAGATTTTCTTTCTCATCTGTCAAATAATGGGAAAGTTTGTTGTACATATAGGTAGCAGTGGAAATTAAAACCCAAAGATAAAGGGGAAAACCATACCTTCAGCTGCCTTTGGGTTAGGCATAAATGTGCCTTACACTATGCAAAAGCAATATTAGTTTTATGATAATAGGTACTTTGGTATATTATCAATAGTACATGTTTATTTGTCACATAACTTCAAATATGACTATGTTTTCTCTGACTTGTTTATGTATAAAATTTATATAAAGTTTGTTTATGCATGTTTTAAGTCAGATTGTCAAATTGGTATTTGGTCAAGTACACTTAATTTTCATTAGTAACAAATTTTAGTACTATCCTTCATATTTTGTTTTTTTAGAATTTAGAACAAAATGTACAGTTTTAAGTAATCCCCTTTTTTTTTTGTTTTCCAGTAATAGAGAATAAAGACTTAGAAATTTTAAGAAATTATTTTGTATACATTGGGGTTAGTTAGCATTTGTTAAATTTTAGGTATTTTTAAGTTGGGGTATAATGCTCTGACAGTGGATGTTAGCAATCATAAATTTGGGTAAGGAGAAAAAAAAAGTTAAGGAAAAGCTGTCAGGTGTCATAAATTACTGTCTTCTTAACTGTCTATAGGTTTTTTGAGAATTGAATAATTATGTCTCCATTTAAATATTGGAATAGATTAGTTCTTTGTGTGTGATTGATCACTACACTTATTAGCATTTAAAAAAATAGGTTGAAGGGGGTGGAGAGATAAAGTGGTTAAGATGCTTACCTTGCACACAGCAGATGCAAGTTTGATTTTTCCAGTATCTCATATGGTCCCTGAGTATCATCAGGAGTTGATTCCTGAGCATTGCTAAAGTGTGACCCCAGAACTGAAAGGATAAAAAAGAGTTGGGGGGCTGAAGAGGTAGTACAGTGGGTCCAAGGCTGACCAGGGTTTGATGCTCAGCATCCCATCTGATTGGTCCCCTGAGTACTGCCAGGAATGATCCCTGAGCACAGAGCCAGGGGTGTCCTTAGCACCGCTGGGTGTGGCTCCAAAACAAAAAATAAGCTAGATAATAAGTAAGCATAAATGAGATTAATAACTGGTGTTTTAGTTTCATTGATGACATTTGAAGAGCCCACTAAACATGTGACTACTAGTTGCTGTACTACTGATAGGGCAGGTGAGAGTATTCCCATTGTCCCAGGACATTTTTCAGAAAATATTGTGAAAAGTAAAAACCTGGGCAAAATAAAGGTACAGTTTTGCCATTAGGTCAAAACCCAATAGATAAAAACCGAAACAAGACAAATATTTTATAAATGCTAGAAAAACATGGGGGCAGAGTGATAATAAAACAGGTAGGTTGTTTACCTTGCATATGGCCCACCCAGGTTTGATCCCTGGCATTCCATATTCCCCTACCTAACCGCCCTCCCGCCCCCCTCCCCCCCCAGCACTGCCAGGAGTGATTCCCGAGTGCAGAGCCAGGAGTAACCCCTGACCATTGCTGGATGTGGCCCTAAAAGAGAAACAAAAGCGAAAACAGCTAGAAAAACAAATAGGTTATATTGAGTATCCAGATGACTAATTGACTTTAATATAATTTTAAAGCCTTTTTTGTATTTTGTGAAATTTGTAGGGATTGATTAAATTTGAAAATTAAGATATGCCATAAATGACACAACTTTTGGGACTGGAGTGCAGTGAGATTGCATGTGACTGATTCAGGTTGGATCCCTGACACCACATGTGATCTCTCATTCCTGCCAGGAGTAAGCATTGAGAACAGCTGGGTGTGGGTCCAAATAGACCTCCTCCCCCTCACACCCTCTTCAAAAAAAAAAAAGACTTTTTTGTTTGATTTTCAAACAACCAAATATTTGCTGTTGGGCAACAGTGGTAGTCAAATACTGTGTATTAGACACTGTATATTTGTGTTTAATTGCTTGTATATATTAATAAAAGTTATCTAGGTATGCCTTCTTTCGCTACTTTAAAAAGTGGAGTCAGCCAAGATTCTAACTTTCTATCAGTTTCAGTTTATTTTTAGCTGTGGTTAATTTCACTTTTAAATTGTTAATGTACGTGCTTTGTTCATTAAAGTTCTGACAATATAAAAATTAACAATTAAAAGTTAGATACACTGTTGCTTTTTTTGAGAGCATTCTTTGGTGTTGATGACTTGAGGGAGGAAGTAGAGAGGAAGAGGGAATTGATCAAAGCACAATCCGAAAGGGGATAAAAGTGCCTTAAAGTTATATTTCATTTAAAATTTAGTAAGATATATTATTTTACAGTTTTTTATTCTTTGGCAGACATTTTTAAGTTGTTAAAGTGATGGTAGTTTGTATGTTTACAAAACGAACGTTTTGATTGCAACAGTGTGACATTGGGATGTTCAAATTGACTTGTACAAGTACATATTGAACTCGCTGGTAATGATGGTGTCCTAAAGACAATGAATTAGCCACTGTCTACTTAGAAAAGGGAAATTGTAATTCAGAAATTTCTTTTTTTTTTTTTTTCCCCCTGCAATGCTCAGGGGTTATTCCTGGTTCTGCACTCAGGAATTACTCCTGGTGGTGCTTGGAGGACCATATGGGGTGCTGGGGATCGAACCCAAATTGGTGTGTGCAAGAAGGCAAATGCCCTATTCGCTGTTACTATCTCTCTGGCCCCTATTTCAGGAATTTCTTAACCAATGTACTTAAAAAATACATGCAAGGAACATTCATTGCATTGGTGGATAACTTTTTAATGCTCTTGACTCAGTCTTTACTCAGACTTTATAACATAACTTGTCAGTGTGGGAGAGAGGATACCAGTAAACTTATCACTATGTGCTGTGGCTTAAACTTTTCCTCTCATTAGTTTACATTTTTTTCCTCATGTGTGCAGTGAGGTAGTGATGGATCTGAATCTTTTGAATTTCTTCTGGAATAGTTTATTCTTTACTTCATTTTAGTTTCTTTTTTTGGGTAAGATTTTATTAATTACATTAAATTAATAAAATGCTAATGCAATAAATTAATAAATATAAATATGTTTATATTTACTTGAGTTGTGAATTAGAGTAATCATTAATGTCACATGCAGGGAAAGGGTCTTATCCCCTGTACGTGGCTGCCTCAGATTTAAACCCAGGCAGTGTATTCCTGGGGGTCTCCTAAGTGCCCCCAGGAGTAATTCCTGAGCACAGAAGTGAGCACAGAATCCCGGAGCTCCCCTTTGTGTTGCCCAAACATGTCCCTCTCCCCTCAAAAGTAATTATAGGAATTAATTTCCTAAAATTAAAGGTATGACATTCCTTATTGTAGGTGTACACACAAATAGCGTATGTTGGGATTTCTGTGAAGTGTTTCAGGATTCTTATAACTGATTAATATTGTGTAGCAAGAGCAGCTGATTTTAAGTAAAATATCCAAATTTGGTATGCAATAACATTTTACTATTTTTTCATGGTAGTCAAATCTTTCAGAACCCTGTTTTTGTTACATTTATTATCAGAATATTAA